GACATTGTGCAGTTTTGTCATCCATGTGGTTTACTTGAACGCGTGTGGCCGGCTTTACTTGAGGACCTGCCACGCCACTACACGCTCCGTTTACTTGAACAAATCAGTTTGATTTAAGTAAATTGAACGATTTTTCATATTTGCCCAAGCCGCTCGCGCAAGCGATGGTTATTAAAAAAAATAACCGGAATGGTTATTAAAAATAACCATTTTGCATTTTTCTTATCATCATACTTGCGCAAGTTTACTTGACAAATTTATTTGCATATCTGGCCTTATCTGCGATCGGCGGCTCGACCGTGATATTAATTATTAATCATTTTTTATCATTTTAATGTCATTATAATAATATAAATAATTATTTTTGGTCAAATTTCGAGCAAAAGTAGAGCGATAATATTAAGTCTTCGAAATCGAACCGAAAACAACTAACCGAAACAACTAACTTCAAATACTGACTTAAAGTACTAGAAAGTCTAGAAGCATGTGCGCGCGCATATATACACGCACTCACACATACACATTTGACTATATGATAAGGGAAAATAGAAGAAAAAGAAAGAATGATAAGTGTTGATCAGTATAGAGTTTAAGAGAAACTGGTTTATTGCGTAAGGACAACATCCTTGAAACTTCTTAAAGAGAAAATGACGATGAGAAATTTTACGCATGCGTATTTACTTGCTACGAAGTAGTATATAAAGAAGCGTAAACGTTTTCGTAAGCTTCTTCCAAAATCAAATACAACGTGTTAGGGAACGTAGATAGTGAGTGAATTCTAATTAATTAATCGTGTATTGTCACATCGCCGCATTAAGAAAAAAGAAACGTTAAAAAATGTGGTTCTTCAATAAAATGTGTACAAGCAAAGTACGTCTTGATGGCAAAACTGTTTTGATAACTGGAGCAAATAGTGGCATCGGCAAAGAGACTGCTAGAGATTTATATGGAAGGGGTAAACTTATTAAAATGATTATTTAAATTATACTAAAATTATTTAAAATTTAAGTAGTAATTACAAATAACGTAAATAATATGAAAATTTTTTATTAGAGAATGATAGTGCCAAACTGCATGTCATTGTATTATATGGTCATATTACATTATTTTATAAGAAAAACTTTACATTTATACCCTAATCTTAACTAACAGACATATGTCAAAATGATGTTAGAATTTAATCAGAAAATAACAAAAAATAACTAATACAACGACGTTAAAATGATAAAAAATGACTAATGATTAATATCATAAATTGATAATGACATTTTAAGACATGATTTTATAATCTTTTTCTTATGACTTTATTATTTAAATAGTATGCTAATCACGTTTTAATAATATAAAAGATTATGTTAAATTGAAATCATAATATGTACAAAAGTATTTTTTTATTACAAACGAGATTAATTGTAAAATACAATCAATTTTTGTTAAGAATAATTAAAAAAATGAAAGTACTTGAAAAATATTTAAAAATTTTATGCAAACTTAGATTAATTTAATAAATTAATTAGTTATTTAAAGGCATATTTTCGCTATTGGCGTGAAATCGTTATATTTGACTCTGCAAGATTGATTATTTGACCTCAAATCGTGTTTATAACTGTTGAAAGAGCAAGCGGAATAAAATTCCAAAGATAACGATAAGTTTGTAATATTTCACGATGTCGAAATTAGTGCGAATTCAGCGGATACTTGTATATATTGTCGTTTACATATCTTTCGCGAATTGGATATAGGCCCAATATGAAATTCGCGAGATTCGATGAGTCAGTTTAATATGGACTATACAGGTTCTATACAATCAAATACGAGCAATCGCAACAATCGAAACAAAATTGTTATCGAGTCTGACTATAGAGGCTCAATACTGCAATACAAGACATTATATTACAAAATATTATTATTACGCCCGAAATACTATGTGATGTGTTTTTCATTCTGACAACTTTATCCAAGAGAATATGCCTATATATTTTAAAAAATTTAATAAATTAATTAGAAATAATAATGCGATTTGTCTATTGTGTATATGTGTGCGGGCGCGCGCGCGCGCACACACACACACACACACACACACACACAATTCTACGAATAAAAAGTATATTTTAAACACATACGTATAAATAATATGGATATTTAGGCGCTAGAGTAATTCTGGCCTGTAGAAATATGAAAAAGGCAAATCAAGCAGTTGAAGATATAAAGAACAATCCACCTTCAAGGTAAATATATATATATAAATTTAAGGTAAATGTATATTTTAAGAATTAATTAAATTGATTACTGTTTATTTCGATTCTCTTTCTTTCTTCTTACGAAACTATATTTATGTTAATTAAATTTTTGTATGTGAACGATGATACATACAATTTATTTTTAGAATCAAACTGGATGAATATAAATGTAACGCGGGTGAACTTGCGATTTATTCTTTGGATTTACAAAGCTTCAAGAGCGTGAAAGATTGTGCTAAAAACTTGCTAGCAAACGAAGCAGCTATTCACATACTCATAAATAATGCCGGTATTGCCGCGCATCCATATGAGAAGACGGAAGATGGAAATGAAATGACATTACAAGTCAATCATCTTAGTCATTTTCTTTTGACTCTTTTATTACTATCAAAGATGCAATCTTCTTCTCCCGGCTGCAAAATAATCAATGTCTCATCAATTCTTCATATCGGTATTTAGAAACAAAGTAGTATATTTTTCGTTTATATTCTGAGGTTTTGATTTAAAACTATAATAACAATATTCTACTTATAACTTTCTATTTATAACTATAATAACACTATAATAACAATATTCTATCATAGCTGCTGACATAGATTTCGATGATATTAATATGGAGAAATCCTACGCGCCACTTAAAGCTTACATGCGAAGCAAACTGGCAAATATTCTGTTCACCAATGAACTCGCTCGTCGATTAACAGGTAAATCAAAGAAGAAATATGCTATTAGAGAGAGATTAAGATAGATTGCATTTGTTCAATATTTATTAATTAATGCTTAATATTTGCTCATCAATTATTAATGATCTAAATGAAGAAAAAGTTCCCAGGAGATAGAATATGGAAGAATTGACGAAAAGGATGTTTTAACTGATTTATAAATTTGGTTAAATACAAAAGAATAATTTTGTTAGATTATCAAAATAATGATATATCAAATGTGTAAATTATTTGCTAGAATATTAGAAATTTTTTGCAATATCATCGTCACATTTAAACTGTTCTTTCTTATAGTTATACAATTTATGTCGATTTTCAGAAGCAAACATTCACGGGATAAACGTATATTCTTTACATCCTGGTATTATCCCGACCGAAATATCACGTCATGGCAGTAAGACAATGTTTCCAGGTGCATCATATATGTATAATCTCTTTGCATCTCTTTTTTTTAAAAATGTCGAACAAGGAGCACAAACAACAATATATTGTTCAGTGGATGAAAGAACAGCTCATGAGACTGGACTTTATTATTCGTAAGAATAATTATAAAAAATAATTATAAATACTAGGACATCGCAATAGCGAATCTTGAAATAACGTGCGAAATTCCCTCCATATATATGTTAGATGCACATAAGGTGTGTAAGGATAGCGATACAATCGCGTAGCAACGTATGTAGATATCTAGATCTTAATCTTAGAAAAAAATATTCCTCTTATCGCTGCGGTCCCGAATTTCACAGTTTCAAAATGAAGCGAAGACAATCTCGTTATTGCATTCTCGGTATTGCAAAGCTCCAAATCGCCCGTTATTACGAGATTCCAGTGAATTGTACATCTTGTACAAGTATATATTTTTATATAAAATAATTGTATTATTATATATAGTGTTATACTATTTATATATAGAGTCCCAAGTTTTAATGACCAAATCTGTCAGTATATTTTGTGGGTTTAAATAAGAAAGAAATGCCATATAAACATAGGACATTTACGAGTTTTATTCAAATGTTATGACAAAACTACGAAATACGAAAGAAATGTTAACTTTGGGTTACTGTGATACAATGTAGGAATAGATCGACAAGTTTACATTTAATCTAATTATGTAAGCTGTATTCACTATCTGAGATTATCAAAAGTAGCATAATACTTTTAGTTTTTCAACAACTATCTAATACTCCATTTCAAAATATAATAAATTTATGTAATAAATTGATATAAAAAATTAATGATGCATTCAATGAAGTGAAACAAAATAAAAATAAAATCCGTAACGATAAATTAAATTTTTGACCACTGTCAGTTTGATATTGTTAAAAACGGTGGATATTTTGAAATGAATGGACTATTAATTAATTTTGGAAGGGTTAAAAGGGTTATCATTGCTATTTTCGATAACCTCAGTGAATACAACTCAGATTAAGCGTTTTAGACCCATGGAATATACTCATAAAGTTTGACCATTAAAATCTGAGACCCTGTATAGTGTAATATAATCCTACATTTTTTCTTTATTTTTTTATACTTAGAAACTGTGTTGCTATCAGAGCAAGTGAAAGAGCAAGAAATCACGAGTACGCTAAAAAATTATGGAATGTATCTTGTCATCTTTTGCATCTCGAACCAGAAAATGATTTTACTGTATTTCTGGATAATGTTTCACGTCAAATGCTTTAGGATATTACGACGGAAATTTTTAATAAAATATCAAAAAATATAATAATATAAAAAAAACAATTCATGAATTTAGAATATAAATACTTTATTATTTTATTTATATATTTCAAATTTTTCAATGAAAGACTAATGAATTTTCAAATATTAATATTAATAATCTCTTGTCAAACGATACTTACATATGTGTAACGAAAAAATTTTTTAACATTTAAAGTTAATTATAACATTTGCATTATAATATCATATAATATTGTTTTCTTAATATAAATAAGAATAAAAATTCTGTTTACCAGATTGGATCTGTAAATTCGCGCTTATTTTTTCCTGATTTTAATAATGACTTCTATTGCGGTCGAAGGAATTTTCAAGTCTTGTAACAGCTTTATGATGGTCTTCTTATGAAAAGCCTTAAATCTTTTTCTCGACAATCTTGGCTTTGTATGTTCGTTCGATTGTTGTCGCGAAAGCAAAACGGAATAAAGAAAAGATTGATGTGAAATTTTATCGAAAGCTTTTTTTCACGAAATATTTTCCAACGCCAGAAAAGGTACAAAAATAAAATACATTTCGATCGATAAATAGATAATCATATTTAATAGTATTTTACTATGACGAATAACTGTCATTGCACAATTATTATTGTTTTATCGTTATCGAATCGCGTATATTGCGACATCGAGCGTTGATCACGAAGCTTATGCAAATTCCAATTCGATTAAAGAGAAATCAGATGCAGAATCTTTTGAATCGTTGACCGACCGAATGCCTTAAATCCTTGCCAGACAGACTGCAGTTGACAGCGTACTTGGACTTGACTTAATCGAAACTCGAGGAAGAACGAAAGAGACCATCTGCATTGAATCGGGATAAACCGTCGTATTCTGTTCCATTAATATTCGGATGTCGCCTTTATGACCGATTCAAGCTGGTGATTCGTGATTCGCCAAAACGCCCTTTTCGCGGGCACTACGAATTTTCGAGAGGGCCATGTTGCGTGGACGATAAATCGTTGATGCATCCGCCACGACGATACGTTCCATCGCGTATAACGACGGCTGCAGGAATCACACTCATCTTGCATGTCACGTTCAGAGTTGGTGCATCGTGATAGTCGGCGAGAAAAAAAATGATAAGAAATACCGATGTGCCGAGTTAGTTATTTATTTTTGTTTGACTTCTATTTTATTCTCTTAGAAGAATATCAAAATGAAAACGAAATTTATTTCATCGGGCTACGTAAATACACGCTAAATAAATAATATAGTTGGTAAAATTTAAATTTGGACTTTTTATATCTAAAAAATATTTACTTACGCTTGCTATTTTATTGTTTATTTTATATACGATAGACACACAGATAGATAGCGTCTGTTTGCGACATAATACCAGAGATATCTCATCATTTTTTTTTTATCAACAACGTGTGAAAGCGTGTTAGAATGAATTTGCATGCTCGCGTTAAGCGCAGACAGAGGAAAATGAGTTTGTCACGTCCTTGAAGGTCAACGTTGCAGGGAAAGGAGGAGCGCGATGGAATCTCGTTAAGGGCAAGTCTCGCATTTACCCCCCAGCTCCCTGAGACGTACTTGCACGCGTTGAACAATTTATTGCGCCTTTCTTGCGCGTTAAAGCGTACTATGAACTGCATACCTTATGCTGGGTTCCCAGCTGGGTCGAATCATAAATCGTGCGGCTCTCTCCTTTCTTTTCTCTCTCTCTCTCTCTCTCTCTCTCTCTCTCTCTCTCTCCTCTCCCCTCTCTCCTTCTCAGACCTTCATCCTCTTACTCTTGATCCACCACGGTCACCCTTGTTTTTTACACGACGAGTCGAGAGATCTTCTCCTTCGTGCACCTTCAAGTGCAGCAACGTCCGAGCTTGCTCTCGTCAGGATATGCATGAGTTCTGGTGTCTCGACTCGTTCGCGTTAGTTATTTAAATCTTCGGCATACGTGCGCGAGCTTTTATCACTCGCTTTTGCTGTTTACATGTTTACCAGCCGCTCCATTCGACGAGTGCAAGCTGCATGATGCGTATCGTATGTCCGCGATATTTTACGCAATGCCTTCCAAACAAGAACGATATTTATTTTGTCAAGGGCTAGGCCATATTAAAGGACCGTCTTTTTATTGACATACACGACGTTGAAAAATATTTTTCGTGACTTTTTGACAACTTAAAACATTTTTTTCATCGCGTGACATGTTTCACACATCACATTTCAATATTCTGTATTACCTTGAGATGGAAAATATTTTGAGTATCGTTATACAAAAAAGAAAGTTTCAGTTCTTTATTAAAAATTTTGTTTAAATATTGTAAAAATACCGTTCGATAATAAAAATACACCACATGTCGGCTCGATAATAAAAATACATCACAAAATATCAACTATCGATGACGAAATATCGACAGTTTTTTCGCGTATCCTTATTTCAAATCAAATCCTGCAAATTATCCTTCTGTATCCTGAATTCCGCCGGGAATGAAATACCACTCCCTCCGGGAAAATTTGATATACCGAGACATGCGTGCAAACCCCATTACATCACGTTTACGACGACCGCCATGCAGAAACTTGAATTACATTACATCACAGCCTCTTTTATGACAACTACACATATTATCAAGAGAGTATGCGATTACTGTTTATTTCTTTCACAACGCAAACATTTTCGTCTTGATGATGAGCATATTACTTCTGATCTTTATAGCCTACCTAAATTGAAAAATAATCTTTATAAATAACCTCTATGAATAAAAAAAATGATTAAATAAGCTGATAAACTGTGATAAAAATGATATAGAGCTAAATCAGAATTAAATATTGTTTGTTTTTTCCAAAGAATGTTTGTTTATTTTCAGAATTTTGGATTTACATTTTTTTATTTAATATATATTATATTATTGGATATGTATATATTTTATACGCTTATGATTATTGAAGAGTAATTAATTGTAAGAATGATTAGAAATAATTTTAATTCGTTATTTTAGATTATATAATAATTTAAACTTAAAATAAATAATGTTATAAAATAATGTTCTATAAACAACAAATTTTCATTTTTCAATAATCTTATAGTGTTATTAGTTTTGAGAGATTCTGTATATTATAGTCTCATTTATGTTATTACATTACATTATAATTAACTCGATTAATTTCGGTCGTGTTGCCCTGATTCCGGAAATTAGAATTCGCGTTGCTAAATAATAGATCATTCATTGACAACGCGGTAATACGTAAACAACATTACGGTTGTTGTTGATGGCAATTTGGTACATTTGTTACCAAATCGGAATAAAAAGCCTAACGAAACGAACAACCTCGATTATACACGAGGCTTGTAATTAGCCGAAAGAGCCGTGGATTCGCACGGACTATGTGTAGTAGCATGTGTGTAATTATTGGGTTACTGTCAGGCATATCTCGTCGGCGAGTTTTATCGCGATTAAAACGAGATAGTTTGTGGCGGGAAAAACACTCGATACGAACTCGAACCATGCATCGTGTGTCGATTCACCGAGATTGAATTTCGATCGCGGTCAAACTCGCTTTTTTTCGACAGATGCGAAATCTCTAAAATGGATACGTGTCAGTCATATGATATAAGTTAATTTTTTTTCATCGGTTACATGACATTGTAAAACACCGCACTAATAATTAAATTATACACTCTTATAATATCTATCGATTAAAAGATGATTTGTATACACACACACACACACACACACACACACACACACACACACACACACACACACACACACACAACTACACATTTAACAAAGAATATTTAAAAAATTTATATTTTTACAATGTTTTGTTTTTTTAATTTATAATGTTAATGTTAATTTATAATGTTTTTTTTAAATATCTCTTTATTTTTATTTAAAAAAGAAATATATATTTCTTATAAATGGAAAAAGAAAACAATATAAATAGATATAATCTTCAACAATTTTCTTTCTAAGTGAAAAATAATTGAAGGAATATTGTCTTCATTATTAATATTATTAACTTTATTGATTAGCAATTTATTTTTTGTAGAGAATTCATATTTCATTATTATTTTTTTTTTTTATAATAAAGACTGCGGTTGAACTTTCATAATTTACTCTAACCTAATATAAAAAAACGATAAAATATTACTCACCATCTTCAAAGTCTCGAAGTTTCCTCTCTTCAACATGTCTATCAATTTCCGGTGTTCTATTTCTTCTTTCGTCATATACACCTTTTTGTTCTTCAATTTCTCATTTTCATAATCATCGCACAAAACATTGTGAAAATTCACTTGCACCACAGGATCTAATCTCGTTTGCTCGGCTGCATTTTCCGGTAGATCCTGTTCAAATTGCAGGTTCTTAACGAGAATTTCATTAACCACCGCACCACGTTCATCCATGTTCTTCATCGTCTCTTCTACGCGATCTTGAATTTTTTCATCAACCTGAAGTTTATTCCGAGAAGGATCTTCCTCAGTCTTCAATTTCGAGCTTTTATGACATTCCAATTCATCCACAGGAATTGTAGCGGTCGATAAATTGCTGTTCTCTCGCGAATGGATCGTCAATTGATCCTGACCCTGTCGCAACGTATCCTCGTAGTCAACCATGACATCTTGAAAGATTATTGTCGATTCATCTGCATCTTGTCCGATCTCTTTCTGCCCTCTGGATTCTTTCGTTCCCGAGATATTTGGTTTATTCTGACAAGGTGATGTCGATTGGAAAGTAGCGAAAGTTTTTGTGGACTCATTAAGAACAACCTGCTGTTGCTGATTCCACTTAACGTAAATCGATTTGTCTGCTGATTCTTTCGACCTACCATTTGGCAGACTCTTTTGTACCTTTAGACATTGCTTCAATCCGATTTCTGGATATCTGCAGATTAAACCCTCGCTCTTCCGATCATCTTCTTCAATAGTTTCGAGATGTTCGTGCCGCGACTCACCGATCCTGTCGAACGATTCCTCTTCGAATGTCGAGGACAATTCCTTGGCAGTAGACTCTCGATCTACTCTGGAAAGACCGGCC